GGGGGGTGGATATGCTAAGCTGCTTTGGAAAGTATAGTGGGGCATCCATATCTAATTAAATAAAAGGACACCTGCCTTTAAGGTTGCCAGCTCTGGTTTAAGACATTCCTGGAGATTTAGGGGCAGTGCCTGGGGAGAATGGCGCTCAGTGAGGGTGGGATGCCTCAGAGTTGTTGTACGCACCACTTATGAAACACTTTGTACTCTGCCACTGACTAACAGTCAGTTTAACTTAGTAGGTGCACTTAACACTTCCATGGTGCATATGTCAAGTGCCTTTGATGATTCTAATCACAGTAACTGAAATCAATCATGAACATGTATTCAGATATTCACTTTGGTTCATTGTTTAAATGCATTCTGGGTAAAATACTAAATGCTGACAGGCAATCATACCGCTTGTGACCTTGCTTGTTCTTGCCAACTATAACTGTGCATATTCCTGATGTCATTTAGCCCACGTTAGATGAAGAACGCACACCACTATGTACCCATATCTGCTACATTAGATACTTTTTGTAACTACACAGCCTGGGAAGAAGAAGGCCTATTATTCAGCTGTAGGAGGTATATTTTTGCCTGAGAAAATCCAACCCACATGTTGGAGCCCAATCAGAATGGTGTGACGGATATGTGACAAAGTTTGATGGAACCAATAATTATGATTTATTTCTAACTGTCATAGGGGGTATAAAAGTTTATGTCTCCATTGTAGCCTTAGGGAAGAGCTGTGGGTACTCGAGGATTCAAAATAGGGTTGCCAAGTTGATTTTCGCTGAGAGCGGGGGGCTCCCGGCTGGCATCTGGTGCGCGCGCTGCACGCACGTCACCCGGAAGTGACGGGAGGACGCCAGGCACACTGGGGGCAGGGGCACGGCCATACAAGGGAAAACCATAGAGTTTTCCTTTGGATGGCCGTGGCCCCGCCCCCAGCATGCCCGGCGTGGTTGCGTCACTTCCGGGTGACGCGCATGTTGGGGTAGAGTTCCCCCCGGGGCCCGATCCGGCGCCACCGGGGAATGGGCCTCTGGGGCGGGGGTTTCCCCGCCCCCTGGGGGGGACTTGGGATCCCTAATTCAAAACGTTGTTGTGCCTGTATTGTCCCTCCTTTATTAATAAAGTTTTTTTGAGCCTGGATTCTCCTCTACAAGACTGCCGAGTGCTTTCTCAAATTGGGCACAACCCATGACAGAGTTTCTGTCTTACAGAGTCCACCCTCCAAACTTTCCATTTTCTCCTGGGGAACTGATCCCTGTCATCTGGAGATCAGTTGTAATTCCAGGGGTGCTCCAGCCCTCACCTAGAGGTTGGCAACGTTGCCTGGCTTAGAAGCTACCAGTTGTATCCCTGATGTGTTAGTCTTTAAACACCTCAGTGACTCTTCGGAGAGGCTGCTGTAACTTCCAGCATTTCACAGGGATGTGTTTACACTGCCCTCATTCTTATACCAAGGATTACTGTCCAGGCCTGTGCATTGCTGAGAAATGTTTGTGGCACAGTGAGACAAATAGCGATTCACCCATTCATGCTAACAGCGAGTCATGTCGTTTGTTTTCATTGTTACACTTTTATCTCACCCGTCCTCCAAGGAGCACAGGGTAGTGTACGTGGTTCCCCCTCTTGTGTGTTATCATCACACAGCAAACTTGTGAGGTCGGTTAGGCAGAGAATGAGAGCGCCAAGTAGGGTTGCCAGCCTCCAGGTGGGGCCTGGAGATCTCCCGCTTTTACAACTGATCTGCAGCTGACAGAGACCAACTCCCCTGGAGAAAATGGCTGCTTCGAAGGGTGGACTCTGTGGCATTGCACCCTGCTGAGGCCCCTCCCCTCCCCCTCCTGGATCTAACCCCAAAGTCTCCAGGTATTTTCCAACCCAGAGCTGGTAACCCTAGGGCCAAAGGTTACCTCGTGAGCGTCATGGCAGAGATGGGATTTGAACATGGGTCTCCCAGATCCTAACCTGACTGCTACATCGTATAATAAATTTCTGTGATTTAAGGGGAGGGCTCAGAGGGAATCTTTACCTGGGACAGTTCTGTCAACAGGGTTTAAGACTATTTAACTTTATTGATTATTTTTATTGATTCCATTGATACCCTGCTTTCCTCTCCAGTGGGGACCCAAATGTGCTGTGATCGTACTCCCTTCTTCCATATTACCCTCAAAAAGACCAACCCTGCGAAGCAGGTGTGAGTGTAGCTCAAGATCACCCAGCGAGCTTCCATGGCGGAGCACGGATTCAAATTCAACTAGAGTCTCCTGAACCGCACTGGGCAGTACTTATTTGCAGGGGTCATTTCATAGAAAGAGAAATGCAGGAGCTCATTAGCATAACTTATTAGCGTAACTTATTTGCATATGTCACATCCCCTGACATCACTGGAAGTGTGTCAGAAGGCAACACCCACCGCTCAGGCTCCACTGGACTGTTTTGGATTGCTAGGTATTGGGGGGGGGGGAACGTGCAGATCTGTCCTGGCAGAGGAGGGAGAGCTTGTACCTGAATAAAACTTGGTCTTAAAGGTGCCACTGGACTGTTTTGGAGGGGAGGGGGGTTCTGCAACTTACCTGGCTGCTTCTTGCTCTGGCTGAGGGCTGCTGGGAGCAGGGGGTGGGGCTTGTTGCATGTGCCCGCCCCCTGGGCTCTTTACTGCGGGAGCTCCGCTCCTGTGCGCTCCTGCAGTAAATGACCCCTGGTTATTTGTTTATTTACACCATTTATACACCGCCTTTCTGGCTTGGACTCAAGGCAGATGACACAGAGTGAGTCACTACAGTCAACAGGGCAGGGCAGTCAATAAACGTTTTATTTTAACATGATGAATACAATATTTTAAGACAAGGTGTTCAAATATTTTCCAAATCATTTCACACACACACACACACACACACACACATATGGTATCAGATTGATCTAATTTCTGTGCACTGAGGACAAGCAAGTCCTAGGTTACAAACTGAACTCTCCAATGCAAGAACAAGATGCATTTCTTCCTTTAGGAGGTGCTATTGTCAGAAGAAAATAAAAAGGTTTCAGTTTTGTTTTTGCATGTGGATGGGTATTCTGTTTGGGCCCGCCTTCAGGTACAAGCTCTCCCTCCTCTGTGAGGGCAGATCTGCACGTCCCCCCCCCCATAGCTAGCAATCCAAAACAGTACAGTGGCACCTTTAAGACCAAGTGGAGCCTGAGCGGTGGGTGTTGCCTTCTGACACACTTCTGGTGATGTTAGGGGGCGTGGCATATGCAAATACGTTATGCTAATGAGTTGTGCTAATGAGCTCCTGCACCTCTTTTTCTACTAAATGACCCCTGCTAGTTGTGATAATTTCATGCCAAGTAAAAATGTCCATAGTCATATTTTATGTCCCTACAGTAACAGAATGACTTTCAATCTTGAAAAGACAAAAGAAATGCTAATGTAGAATTTTTTTCCGTTCCCCCCCCCGAAAAAAACGGGTTTTTTTCCGAGCTTCAAAATTTCTGGAAATTCTACATCTCTACCCTTGCCTGAATCTTTCCTAGCTCTACAGTATTGTTTTGGCGGTACAGTGACCAGAACTCTACATAGCATTCCACACGCACCCACACAGTAAACGAAGGCTACTATACAAATGACGCATCTCAGTCAGTGTGAAATGGTAACAGGGCAAACGTATCCCGACCCGAGGCAGTCCTGTGACCTGTGCCATTTATAAGAACTGAAATCCATCCCGATGTTTCAGGCCCCCTCAAAAATGCACACACTCATCATTGTCCAAAAACACAATTAGTGACTGGTGGCAGCAGGGCTGGTGTGACTCAGACTAACTGGGGGATGCTGGCAACTCACACTGCTGTTTACCAGTGTGATTCTGGGGAAACCGGCTCTTCCAGCGCTTGAGCTTTTGGTTGCTCCCATGGGAGACATGTGGGGGCTGGGGAGTGGATGAGAGGCCAGGAGGAGATGGGAGGGGAAACTGTGTTTACTCTGCAGGAGTAACTAGTAGAGTGTGAGGGGCAGAAAGCTAAAGCCTTGCCCCAAGGAGCTTCCAATTTAAAACTTCGGGATAATAATGGGTAAGAAGGGCTATTTTT